ATGTAGAGAAAGGGGAACACTCCTCCACTGCTGGTGGGAGTGCCAACTCGTACAGCCACTTTGGAAAACAGTATGACGACTCCTCAGGAAAATGGGAATCAGTCTACCACAAGATCCAGCAATTCCACTCTTAGGCATTTACCCAAAAGAAGCACATTCATACAACAAGGACATCTGTTCAACTATGTTCATAGCAGCATTACTTGTAATAGCCAGAACCTGGAAACAACCTAGATGCCCCTCAGCTGAAGAATAGATGGAGAAAATGTGGTACATTTATACAATGGAGTACTACTCAGCGGGGGTTGGGGGGGTGAGCAATGGAATCTTGAAATTCACAGGCAAATGGATGGATCTAGAAGAAACCATTCTGAGCGAGGTAACCCAGTCACAAAAAGACAAAAATGGTATGTACTCATTCATATATGGATTTTAGACCTAGAGCGAAGAAATAGCCTACAATCCACACTGCCAGAGAAGCTAGGAAACAAAGAGAACCCGAAGAGAGACATGCATGGGCCCCAGAGAAGGGGAAAGGGACAAGATCTCCTAAGCTAGTTGGGAGCATGGGGGAAGGGGAGAGGGAGTTAGAAGAAAGAGAAGGAGAGGAGGGGAGAGGAGGACATGAGGAAGCAGGAAGAGTGAGTCAGGGGAAGAATAGAGGAGAGCAAGAAAAGAGATACCATCATAGAGGGAGCCATTATAGGTTTAAAGGGAAATCTGGCACTAGGGAAATGTCCAAAGATCTACAAGGTTGACCCCAACTAAGAATCTAAGCAATAGTCGAGAGGCTACCTTAAAAGCCCTTCTCTGATAATGAGATTGACGACTACCTTATATGCCATCCTAAAGCCTTCGTCTAGAAGCTGATGGAAGCAGAAGCAGACACCCACAGCTAAACACTGAGCTGAAACCTGGAATCCAGTTGCAGAGAGGGAGGAGTGATGAGCAAAGGGGTCAAGACCAGGCTGGAGAAACCCACAGAAACAGCTGACCTGAACAAGGGGTTGTTCATGGACCCCAGACTGATAGCTGGGAAACCAGCATGGGACTGTTCCAGACCCCCTAAAGGAGGATGTCAGTTTGGAGGTCTGGGTAATCTATGGGGCCTCTGGTAGTGGATCAGTATTTATCCCTAGTACATGAATGGACTTTGGGAACCCATTCCACACAGAGGGATATTCTGTCAGCCTAGACACACAGGGGAGGGTCTAGCCCCTGCCTGATGGTAAGACAGACTTTGAAGATTCCCCATGGAACGCCTCACCCTCCCTAGGGAGCAGAAAGTGGAGGGGATGGGGATTGGTGGGGAGCAGGGGAGGAGAGAGTGAAGGAACTGGGATTGACATGTAAATGAAGATTGTTTCTAATTTAAATTTAAAAAGGAAAAAGAAAAAAAAAGATTATAAAAAAGATCAATTGGATATTAAACTTTAGACTCACAAAGACAGAATAGATAATAGAGGATTTTCTTGAATTTTGCCAAATACAAGTAGACAAAATAAAAAAAAAAATAACAAAATATCCAGTCTCTTTTAAAAAACAAAAGGTGCTGTATAAATTCCTTTTATAAGACGAGTAGAGACTAAAACAAATTATTCTTATGACTTTCTTAGGAGAATTATTTTGGGGACTGGAGAGATGGCTCAGCAGTTGGGAGCACTGAATGCTCTTTCAGAGGACCTGGGTTCAGTTCCCAGCACCCACATGGCAGCTCACAACTGTCTGTAACTCCAGTTCCAGGGAATCCAATACCTTCACATAAAATAAAGTTAAATAAATTATTTTTTAAAAAGCATAATCTGAATAAAATGAGTCTTGGCAGCTAATAAACAACAAAGAAAAAGGGTACACTTTTAAAATATAGGTACTGAGATAAACACATACACAAAATCAAAATTACCTTTCAAACCATGTTTTTATACTATGTGCCAATGACTCTCCAGGAAACATTTGATTATTCCTTAGATACAAAAGAATGTCCAGTAGTTTGTTTGAATAGTGATCATCATTTATGTGTTTGCCAAAATCAAAGAAGGCCTTTAAAGTGTCCAACAGAGGAATGAGATTATGATCTATCAATTCCTGATACAAACTCCAAGCCAAGTTCACATCTTGATGAAAGAGGGCTCCCTGTATACAGTCATTGTAGTTCTTTTTTGAAGGGATCGTGACTTTCTTAATCTCTTCTAACCGCAGCAAGGCCTCTCTCCATCTGTCTGAGTGGATCAATCCCCGGATGAGAATGCTGTTAGCCCCAGTTTCTAAACACTTGTACTTGGCTTTCATGATTTCATAGACATCAATAACTTCTGATGTCTCCTTATGATAGACACAGAGATACAAATACTTGACGAGTAAATTATACCCTACAATGCCATTGTTCTTTGCTGCTACCCATGCCAGGAGAGACTTAGCTACATCTACAGAACTACGGTTTCGTACCATCTGTGAAATGACCTTATCTTCAAAACTGATCTTCCCTTTGAAATCTTCTTTAAGTTGATCCCACTCTTCAGAGTTCAAGGGTGTAGTTGGAACTTCAATAGTGCCTCTCTTACGTGACACGGCATGATCTCTCTGCTGCAGGTTGTTATTTAAGTGTGCCCTCTTCTTGGCTGCTCCAGCAGCAAAATAATGATCAGAAGAAACTTGCCTACTGCTGTCATTTTCTTCCTTGAGTGTTCTAGTCTTGGCAACCAGCAGATTTATTGCTTTGCTATTTAGAGGGAATGTGGTTTTAACACAAAGCCATCTGTGTTGGTTCCTGGTAACCCCGAGAAATAAAGAGACAGGAGAGGTCGCAAGGCCCAGCTCAAAGCAAGGGGTGCTCCTCCAAAGTTTCTGAATGTTCCGAAAACCTAACAAATAGGTCATTCTGCAGTGCGTTGAATGAGGGTTAAAAAAGAAACAGCTCCACTCTGCGATGGAAAATTAAGAGACTGGAAGTTGACGATAGTTGAAGCAGAATTCTTAAAAAGGAGACTTTTTGTTTGTCCTTTACAAACACATCAAGATTATGCTTTAGGAGTGATTTAATAGGAAGGAAAGCACACAGTTCTCTCCATTAAACGGTGATCCTGGGATCTCCAACACCAGTAGCAATCTCTAAACCAGAAAGACGGAATGGGAATCCTGAGGTGCCTGTTAAATTCCAATTTTCGAATCTGAGGAAAAAGCACAAAAAGGGCTTCCTAGTTGACTCATGTGAATCACAAGGTCCTGAAGATGGGCAAGATACCAAGAAAACTAGAACAGAGAAATAAAGTAATAACCTTGACCAGGTACCACCAACCATAACCCCACCGGCAGCAAGAAAAAACAGTCTCCGGTCCCTTGCTCTTTACATTTTCTCCAGGCCCTAAAACGCCTGAGAGAGGAGGGATAGGGGGGACGCAGCATAAACACCACAGGGAAGGATTAGAGTCCAGAAAGAGCTTAGACTTAACTGTTCGGAGGACCGACAAACGAAGCTCACTGCATTCACCAACTCACCACGCCACGCATGCTTACAAGTAACCATAAATGCGGTGAAAACTACAATACCCACAAGGCACCGCGCTGAATGAGCCGCCAGGGCCTGAATGGCTTGATGGCAGGCGTTCTATTGAGCCTGACTAGATAAACAGAAAAAGAAGAGTAATTTTGAAGCTTTTAGTATCCAAGAGGGCTAGAGACGGCTACGGAAGCTTATATTACATCTTGGAGACTGTTAAGGCTTCCAGAGCGAGAACAAAATGTGACGAAAGTGCTTTTCTCAAGTCGGAAAACCCAATGGATTCCTGCATCCGGTGATGCGCACGCGCCAAAGGCCCACGACCCTCACGCGGGTTTCTCGCTGGTCCTTAAGATCAGATTTGGTGAGCTGGGATACTCCCATAAGAAGGATGATTCTTCGTCTGTTTCTTGTCTGCTTTTCGCCCCTGCTAGCGTGACCTCTGTATCCGGAATAGATACAGCATTCGGGTTTTGCCTCTGTGGCCAACGCTTCCGCCCGTGTCCAAGATGGCGTCCAGGCGTCCTTCCTAACTTCCTCCCGCTTTGGTGGCGTCTGACGTCGGAGCTGGCAGTGGGTGGAGCGGTTAACAACCCGCTAATGTAGGGTCCTCTGAGCCAGGGTCAGACATGGACTGGAAAGACGTGCTCCGCCGGCGTTTGGCGTCGCCCAACACGGATCCAAAGAGTGAGTTCGCGAGGGACCGCCCGCCAGATAGCCCGCCCTAGGCCAGAAGTGGCGGTGGGGGGATGGATGGGGAGGAGGAGGAAGTGCGAGTGATACTTTCCGCGTCTGGTAAACTTAATCTGACAAAGGAGTCTGAGCGGAGTGTGCTTTAGGGATCCGCCGAGGGGTGGCCCAAACTTCCCTGGTAAATGACCCACAAGGAACCAAAAGCGGAACCGTGGCACCCGTTTGCCTCGATCTTAGGCTTATGAGGAGGAATAACTGACAGCCTTGGCTCCCTTCGATCTTACCAAGAAAGACCTATATATAATTCGTTCTTACAGCTTCCCACCCGCCTTGACACAGGGTGTTTGACTTACTGACCCCTCCTTGCCTCAGTTTCCCGAGTGCCTGCAGCCTTTTAACTCTTACTTTTCACTTAGCCCTCTATTTTAAATTTCATTAATCCGTTTTACATTGTTCGTTCGTACCCCGGTCCTTCACACTTGCTTGTCAGTCAGTCTGGCTAAATTCTTCAGTTCGATACCAGCACCCGGGCCGCTGAAATGGACTAAAGAGAAACAGCGCCGGGGCTAGAGAGATGTATCAGCCATTAAAGGCTAGGTTCACAAGCAAAAAGAAAAACAACCATGGTGAGTTCTCACTTAGAATCCATGCCCACTAAGCTAAAGGATGTGTTTTAGTCGCATCAGCAAGATTCGACTTCCACACTTAATTCCTCTCATCTTCCCAAGCCTCCAGTCCTCCCTCTCCAATCGATGAGCATATGTGTGTGTGTGTGTGTGTGTGTGTGTGTGTGTGTGTGAGAGAGAGAGAGAGAGAGAGAGAGAGAGAGAGAGAGAGAGATTAGAAGCAATTAAAGTAGAACGTCAACTCTTTCCAGTTACCATTTCTCTCAGGTGTTAGGTATTTATCCTTACACTCAACCTTCACCTTTAATTTGAATTGTCACCATAAAATTGTCACCAGGCAGTGTGGTGCAGGCCTTTCTTTAATTGGGAGGCAGAGTCAGGTGGATCTCTGGACTTCAGCTAGAGTTCCAGGACGGCCAGGGCTACACGGAGAAACCCTGCCTCTAGAACAGAACAGTCTGTACTACTACTTAAGCCCTCCAATCTGTCACTAGATTAAATTCCCTTTCATATATTCAGTGGCTTCTCTTCAATTTTATCCCCTCTCTCATACATTATCAACATGACCACTAACAAACATGTTGTAATAGCCTGCATGGATCTAAGTGTACCATGTTTATGTGGTGCCTGCTGAATGAAAATGGGGAAAAATGAAAAATGAAAATGAGGAGGGGCTTTTATTGTAGAAATGAGGGAGAGTTTGTCCAGAGGCATCTGGAAGGCTCTAGACTGAAGATGGCCAGCAGAATAGACGGAGCCATGAGAGGGGAGCGAGAGGAAGAGGTAGAGAGAAAAGAAACGGGGGCCAGACCAAGAGTGCACAAGGGATCCGAGAGCAAAGCCAAGAGTGCATAGCCAAAAAAGGTGATTTCTATAGAATTGGAAGCTGGAGGAAGGGAAGCCCAGCCCCTTGGCTGGAGACCTTTAGGGTAGGGGCGGGTTGAGAAGTGCCACAGGTACTGACTGGGTAATGCCTAGGGAGCTGTCATGCATCAGCCTTGAAATGTTAATGGGCACCTTTGTTAGTCATTTATCCCAAGTTTCTTTGAGACCTAACACCTACGGAGGCCAAAAGAGGGTATTGTATCCCCTGGAACAGGTGTTAAACATGGTTGTGAGCTGCCCTGTGGGTTCTGGGAAACAAACCAAGCCCTCTACAAGAGCAGCAAATCTACTGACTTTTAACTATTCTTAAACCTACTGAGTCATCTCTCCAGCCCCCTCCAATGTTTGCTACATTTCTCTTCACTTTTACTAGGAATACTACTACTGAGCCTGAGTGTATAGCAAATTATCTAGATTGTATGGATAGTATTAGTAGCTCCTACTCAAGGCTGTTGCCATCAGTGTAGTAGATCCTATCCATGTGCTAAATCTCTTTTGCCTGCACAAGGATGTATTCTTTTTTTTTAAGATTTATTTACTGAGCTGGAGAGATGGCTCAGCGTTTAAGAGCACTGACTGTTCTTCCAGAGGTCCTGAGTTCAATTCCCGGCAACCACATGGTGGCTCACAACCTCATTGAATGAGATCTGGTGCCCTCTGCTGGCATGCAGGCTGAAGACTGTATACATAATAAATAAAATCTTTAAAAACAAAACAAAACAAAACACCATGTTTAAAAAAAAATTATTTACTAAGTATACAACATTCTGCCTTCGTGTTTGCCTGTATGCCAGAAGAGGGCACCAGATCTCATTACAGATGGTTATGAGCCACCATGTGGTTGCTAGGAATTGAACTCAGGACCTCTGGAAGAACAGCCAGTGCTCTTAACCTCTGAGCCATCTTTCCAGCCCCACAAGGATATATTCTTCAGGATAGTCCTTCTCCTGTATCGTCAGGCTTTCTTAATCATTTTCAGTAGCAAATACACATGCCGGTATTTTTCCCAGTTAAGAAACTTTCTCAGAAGCTGGGCAGTGGTTGCACAGGTAATAAATAAAATCTTTAAAAACAAAACAAAACAAAATACCATGTTTTAAAAAAAAATTTATTTACTATGTATACAACATTCTGCCTTCGTTTAATCCCAGCATTCAGGAGGCAGAGGCAGGCAGATCTCTGAGTTCCAGGCCAGCCTGGTCTACAGAGTGAGTTCCAGGATAACCAGAGCTGTGTAGAGAAACCCTGTATCAAAAAACAAAAAAAGAAAAAAGTTTTTTCAGGCCAGGTACATGTATGTAGAATTCCATCACTCCAGAGGCCAAGCAGGAAAATGCAAGTTCACTGCTACACTGGTCTATAAATAGTGAGTTCTAAGCCAGCCAGTGATACAAATCACACCTGGTCTCAAAACTAAAGGAAAAAAAAAAAAAAAAACCAACTTTCTTGTATGAATTTCCTGAACTTCAATGTATAGGCTATCTTGAATAAAAATAATATTTGATGTTTGTGCTTTTCTTACCTTAATTTTTTTTTCCTGTGTTGCTACTAGGGAAAAAAAGTGAACAAGAATTAAAAGAGGAAGAAATGGATTTATTTACCAAATATTACTCAGAATGGAAGGGAGGTAGAAAAAATACAAATGAATTCTATAAGACCATTCCCCGGTTTTATTACAGGGTAAGTGTTGTCTGAGTGGATGTTTCTGAATCTGTAAATGAAATGTCGTTTCAAAAGTGGGATCCAAAGTATACATTATACATTGTTTTGTTTTGTTTTTTGAGACAGGGTTTTTTGTTTTTGTTTTTGTTTTTGTTTTTTGTGTAGCCCCGGCCGTCCTGGAACTAGCTGTGTAGACCACGCTGGTCTTGACTTAAGTATCACAGAGATCCGCCTGCCTCTGTCTCCTGAATGCTGGGCTTAAAGGCATGTGCCACTACTGCCCTGCCTAAAGCATATATTTTTAAAATAGAGGATTACATTGAACATTTTGTATATTTTATTACAGTTGATTTATCACTATGATAAAATACTTTGAATCCATTAAAATCTTGTACCAATAAGTTGGTACAAGAAAGCAAAGTTGTTATTTCCGTTTTTTGAGCCATAGGTACTTCCGATTTTTATTATAGATATTAGTGTGAGTACACTACTCGGTTGATGTAGTCTCAGCAGGTATGCTGGCTTTACCCAGACTGCTAAGCTAGTCCTGTTTAGTTTGACATTGACGTAAAGTGACTTTTCCAATGTGCTTCTAGTTGCCAGCAGAAGATGAAGTCTTACTACAGAAATTAAGAGAGGAATCTAGAGCTGTCTTTCTACAGAGGAAAAGCAGAGAGCTCTTAGACAATGAAGAATTACAGGTACGAGTGGAACCAAGTGGCTTTAGCTGTTACCCATTTTTTTCTCGTACTTAAGTCATGCAGAAGTTTGTTATGTCTCTTTGAATTATCGATGCAGAGAAATACTCCATAGGTTTCTGGAGCAGGATGTGTACCTGTGTACCTGAATCAGCTGCTGAACTTGCATGGCCTGATTTCCAAGGATAGTGCTCCTGAGGTTTTGTTTCTTAAGTTCCCACATAATCCTAATATGTTGTCAAGGTTTGGAAAACAATGCAGTGTCATCCTCTGCAGAAGTTCAAATTCTGGCCCCCTGCTATTGTGTGGCTTTGGGCAATGAACTTTGATACCTTTATGCTTTAGTTTTCATGTGTAGAGATAGTTGCCTACATCATATAGTTACAGGGATTAAAGAAGCAGTATATTTTGAAACCATAAAACTTAAGTAAGCACAATAAGTGTCAGTTATTTTTATTAGTAGTAATCAAAATAATGGGGCATAAACTCAACTTTATTAGACAGAAATGATGCATTTCCATTCTTAAATCCACTGTTAACTTATAACATCTTCATTTCCCTAATTCTCTTAAGAATTTATGGTTTTTGCTGGATAAACACCAGATACCACCTGTGATTGGAGAGGAAGCAATGATCAATTACGAGAATTTTTTGAAGGTTGGAGAAAAGGCTGGACCAAAGTGCAAGTAAGAATAATGTGATTTAAAGAGGGACGTGTTATGTTAGACATTTTTATTGCCTCAAATGTCAATGGAGCTGAAGTCAATGGTGTGACATTTTACTTACTTTGATAAAATTAGAGTCAAGAAAAAATTGGAGACTGGGGAGATGGCTTAGTCTATTGGATTCCCAGCAGTTGTATAAGAGCTGGGTGCAGTAGCATATGCGTGCAACCCCAGTGTTGGTAGAACAGAGGTGGACAGATCTGTGAAGTTCACTAGCCAGCCAGCTGGTCAAATCAGTGAGCTCCAGGTTCAGTAGGAGAATCTGTCTCAAAAAGTAGGGTGGAGATCATTGAGGGAGCTATCTGGCATCACCCTCTGGCTTCTACATGCATCTACATGCACACAGCCACACAAACATGTACTATACTACACATACAAAAGTGTTTGTGTGGAGTTAAGAAAAATAATACAAACCTGGGTGTGCGGTACCTGTTTGTAAGCCCAGCACATGAGAGGTTGATACAGGAAGATAATCAAAAATTCAGTGTCAGCCTGGGCTTCATAATGAGTTCCTGTCTCAGACGAAAGAGAGAAAAAGGAAACACTGGGCATGGTGGTACACACCTTGATCCCAGTACTCTGGAGACTGAAGCATTCATCTTAATGAAATGTAACAAAACAGCTTGGGGGGGGGGATGATGCTATGAAGTTATTAAGAAAAATCATACCGCTGAGTATGGTGGCACACACCTTTAATCCCAGCACTCCATGGGCAGAAGCTGGTGAATCTCTGTGACTTGGAAGCCAGCCTAGTCTACATAGCAAATTCCAGGCTACTTGGAGCCACATCACAAAAGAGAGAGATAGGGGAGGGAGGGATGATGAGGTGCAGGAGGAGGTGGGAAGGGGAATACCAAGTTGGCTCACGCACTCAGGAAGTAGACACAGGCAAATCTCTGTGAGTCTGAGGCCAGCCTGGTCTACAGAGCGAGCTCAAGGACAGCCAGGGCTGTTACACAGAGAAATCCTGTCTCAAAAAAAACAAAAAACAACAACAATAAAAAAACAAAAGGAACTCTGGGGGAGGGGGTGTTTTCTCACGCATCCGAACAATCTTATATCCAACTAGTTTTTCTTCTGGGTGCTTTGGGTTTATTTCCTTCTCAATATACCTTCTTCAGAATGACTGATGTTTATTCAGTGCTCTGCGTGTCTGTTTTAGAAGCCCTGTTACTGTCTGTACCTGTGAGCGTGTGGGATGGCACAGTAAGAGCTGTTGGATCTACTGTGTCCAGATTCATGCAGGTGTCCAGCAGTATTTGTTCCGTTGTCACACAGAAACAGGAGCTGAATGCCACTCTGATTCCTTATCCATCATTCCTGTGGTGTAGCAGATAATGTGATGAATGATTATCCAGCAGCCCCCTACTGATTTTCCTCTTTCAACTGGGGAGCATTCTGCATCCTGGCACCCGAGGGCAGCTCTGCAGAGGAGCCTGCTCCTTACTATGGTTAGGCTAAGGGGGCCTCACAGTAGACAGCTAAGTCCAGGCTTCAGTAGGTGAGAGCATGCATGGACCTAGGTCATTCATTGAAGAATGCAAAGATTTATAACTTACTGTTTCAAATTTTGAAATATGGGGAGTCTTTTACTTTGATTATTAATTGTATGAATTTATGTTGTTTGCTAATTCTTACAGAAGTCATTTTTGTACTGCTGATAGACCACTTTAATTTTCATTTCCTTTTTTAGGCAATTTTTTACTGCAAAAGTCTTTGCCAAACTCCTTCATACAGATTCATATGGGAGAATTTCCATCATGCAGTTCTTCAACTATGTCATGCGAAAAGGTGATTTGTTGTGTGTGTGAGTTTGAACTTTTGTCTGGGAATCAAGCAGGCACTGGTCTGCACTTACTTATCCTGTATGATATGCTCTTTTCCTGTGCTTTATGGTTCTGCTGTGTACTGTAAAGAGGTAGGATTATCTGTATTAAAATCAATTCATTATTGTATTTTTTTATTTTATTTTTATTTTATGTGCATTGGTGTTTTACCTGTATGTATGTCTGTGAGAGGGTGTCAGATCTTAGAGTTAGACAGTTGTTAGCTGCCATATGGGTGCTGGGAATTGAACCTGGGTCCTTTGAAAGAGCAGTCAGTGCTCTTAACCACTAAGCCATCTCTCCAGCTCCTGAATTCATCATTTTAAACAAAAGCCTTGTGTACCCTAAGGACGGTGGCAGAGTAGGGATATCAAAAGCAGTTACACTTTTTTCTTTTTTCTGGGTCACATGTACTCTCCCCAAAGGGCCTTTCTCAGTCAGCTCTGTCCTATTGCCACAGTGTCCTCACTATGATTTCACTCTTAGCAGAACAAGACTTTTAATGGGTGATTTGAAATAATTTCAATTTACTGGTAATTTTATTTCACTAATATATATGTCTGAAAGGATAGCTGCAAACTCACAGTTGTAGTCTTGGTTTCAAGAAGCCTGTATTAAAACATTTTGGAGTTGTTATGAATCTTAGTACTATATGGGCTGTGGAATCTTACTGTATACCATTGTTAATTAATAGATTTGGGCTGCAGTAATTAACCTCAGGAGGACACAAGTTTCACTGAAGACCCAATGTTGTGCTAGCTCTCCCTGTGGGGTGGAACACCAGGTTTAATAATCAGAAGACAATGTTCCCAAGGGCATCAGTTTTACTGTAGTAATCATGGCAGAATCGTTGAAATCTGCTATTTCGTGGCTTTTTTCTTTTGGTTTAAATGGCTTGGGGAGTTACTTAATGTATGTGAAAATAGCTTTATGGAGTTTCAGAATTAGCCTGCACTTCTAGTCTAGTGTCTTACTTTTTTATTATATGTTTTAAAGAACAGATCTTAGCATTTACATGTAATTTCTTGTTTATTGTCAGTTTGGCTGCATCAGACAAGAATTGGACTCAGTTTATATGATGTTGCTGGGCAAGGGTACCTTCGGGAATCAGTGAGTATTGATCTAAATTTAATAAACATTATAAACACCAAAATATTAACATTAATCATCACTAAGTTAGTTGTACTTACAGGTAAATTTTTGCGTCATAGCTTTAGTTTGCTGATTTTACCTCTGTAAACATGTTAAATTTTGTATATATTGACCACATATATTGATCTGTAGTTCTTTTTTTCTAGCCTTTTAAAAATATCTTTTGATCTTTTTGAAAGGAAAAGGAAGCTGAGCATCATAACACATACTTCTAATTCAAGCACTTTAGAGGCTGAGGCAGGAGGATTGTTGGGAGTTCAGAGGTAGCTGAAGCTCCACATATGATTGATTCCAGGCCAGCCTATGCTATATAATAGCAAAACATTGTCAATAAATAAATAGAACTTATCTAAACAGGTTTAAAAATGATTGATGAGAGTGGGGTATGGTGCCAGATACCACTAATCCTAGCTTAGGAGGCCAGGATACAAGGACCACTTGGCCAACCTGGTTAGGACTATGTAGTGAGACCTTGTCTCTGAAATCAGAAGGGGGGGAGGGGTGGGGAAGGAAGGAGAGAGAGGGGAGAGAGAGAACAATTACTGAAGAAAAAAGTTTGGAATGTTTTTGTGAATGGTGCATGTTTGGCTTGTGTGCAGGCAGACGTGGAGGCCTGAGGTTGATCAGGGATCATCTTCCACCACTCTTTCCTTCCTGTTCATTGAGCCAGACTCTGAATTAAACCAGAGCTCACCACATGACTAGTTTGTAGCTTGCTCTGGAGAATCCTGGGTCAGTCATCCAAGGCTGATGTTACAGGTGGACTACCGTGCCCACTGTCATTTACATAGGTTCTGGGATCTGAGCTCCAGTCCTCACACTTGCAAAGCAAGTGCCTAACTGCTGAGCCATCTCACTAGCCAGCCTCTCTAAGGGCTAGAGAGAGATGGGGTAGGGCTAACATGTGCCACAGAACACATGTGGAGACTGAAGGAAAACTTCATGGAGCTGGTTCTCTCTTCCCCACTTTCCATGGATTTTAGGGCTCCAACTCAGGTCTTTAGGCTTGCACAGCAAGCACTCTACCTGCAGAGCCATCTCATCTCACCAGCTTGGTTATTCTCATGTGTGCATTATTTTATTACTATGATAAAGACCAAAAAGTTTCTTTCTTATAGAATATAGGGGAAAGCTAATAGGGCTTTGCTTTTACCCATAGGTTTAGAGGGACCTGAAGAGTTACCAAGAGGGTATTTATTTCCTATAGGTATTTGTGTCATTAGGCCTGGTTATGAACAGGATTAAAACCTCATGGCTCAAATGGCTATGCTACTTAGGTAATTTTGGCAGTTATCTAAATTGTGTGGCTATATTTCTTTTGGGCTTATATTTTATTCTCCAATATGGAGTTGTCTTTTAGAACTTAAGGAAGAAGGCCTGTTGGGCATAAATATCAATAAGCTAATGAGTTACTTAAGATCATCACTTTGTCCCTCCCAGGGGCAGAGTATAGTTCTTGTCCTTTAAGGTACAGACCATCACTACTGGAAAGCACTCTTACCTCTGCCTGTCTCTGTAGGAATGGAAGCTGGTGTGTTTAGAACAAAAGCTAGAATAGCAGAAGAAGTCAGAGAAGTACATAATGACCACATTTGTGAGTCGTTTAGACTATAGTGAAGAGTTCAGGGTTTATTTTGAGAGTCAAAAGAAGCCAGGATATGTTCCAGTGAGTTGTCAGAGTGTGGTTTGGGTTTTGGTTTTGTTTTGCTTTGCTTTTTTTGTTTGTTTTGTGTGTGAGTATGTGGAGGTCAGAGAACAACTTGCAAGAGTTGTCTCTCTCTCTATCATGTGGGACCTGGGCATTGAGTCCAGGTCCTCAGGCTTGGCTGTAAGCGCCTTTACCCACTAAACCATCTTGCCTGTCCCATGGTTTCTAGTTTTAAAGGTCACTCTGGATGTATTATGGAAGATTAGAAGAGCACAGAATGGAGGTAGAGATAATGGGCAACTGTCTATTGTAGTCTTGTGAGGGAAAAGTGATAGTGGCCAAGATGAATGGTGACCATAGTAGAAGCTAGAAATGAAGCTGGGCATGATAGCTTACACTTTTTAAACTCAGGAATTAAGAGGCTGAGGCAGGAGATTACTCACAAGTTTGAGGCCAGCCTGCGATACTTAGTGAGACCTTATTTCACCACCGCCACCCTAAAAATACCCGCTGAAAGCTAAAAATAGATTAGTACACATTTTAGACATCCTGCCTTCACCTCTACCACCACCACCTCCCCCGACAAAAAAAAAGGAAAGAGAGAAAGAAATCTCACACCTTGCTGCTAGATGGAATGTGTGGTATAGGGAGTAAGATACTGGTAAGGGAAATGTAGAAACCAAAGCTGGGAGAAAGCAGATGAAGGCCAAGAAGAGCTTGTTTTTGACATCAGGCTTGAGGTTCCTGTTCCTTTATGAACTTAGATGTCTCTGATCTACCAGGCATATTATACTTAGAATAGTTAGAGTGAAAAATAAAACGGCATGGGAGAATTGTATTTCTTCATTTAGATTTTGTAAGACAAAGTCTCACTTTGCAGCCCTTGTAGCCGGACTGGCCTGGAACTTTCAGTGATCCTCCTTCCTCTGCCTTCCAAATATTGGGACTATATATAGGTGTATGCCAGACAGTTTTAAACATATTGACTTGGTGTCCTAATGTTGTTTCTTTTGCTATAATAAAATACTCCAGCCAAAGCAATCTTAAGGGTGAAAGAGTTTATTTTGCTTACAATTCCAGCTTCTAGTCTGCCATAGTGAGAAAGTCAAGGCAAGATATTTAACCAACATTTTGTTTTGTTTCCAGGACTTAGAAAACTACATACTGGAACTTATCCCTACTTTGCCACAATTAGATGGGTTGGAAAAATCCTTTTACTCTTTTTATGTTTGTACAGCAGTTAGGAAGTTCTTCTTCTTTTTGGACCCTCTAAAAACAGGTAAAAAAAAAAAAAAATATATATATATATATATATATATGTGTGTGTGTGTGTGTGTGTGTGTGTGTGTGTGTTGTGTAATTTAAATACTGGGATATTATTTATTGCTATCGCAATATTAGACAAGTCTCTGCCATTTCCCATTGTTTTCTAATGTCATCGACATAATCTGACAAATCTCAGAAGAGTGGATGAGTGTACAAGACAGCCACAATGCTTTGCTTTCTATAAAGATCTTTCAGAGTATTCTCACACTGACTATAACCAGTGTGATGGTGGGATGTCACCTACTGCCTCAGTGTTATATTGCTGTGAAGAAACACCATGACCACAGCAACTCTTATAAAAGAAGACATTTAATCAGGGCTGGCTTACAGTTCAGAGGTTTAGTCCATTATCATTATGGTAGAAACCATGGCAATATGCAGGCAGACATGGTGCTGGAAAGGTAGCTGAGAGTTCTACATTGGATTCACAGGCAGCAGGAAGAGAGAGAGACACACTGAGCCTGGCTTGAGCATTTGAAACCTCAAAGACCACCCCCCATGACACACTTCCTCCAACAAGGCCACACTCCTAATCACTCCCTAATGACCAAGCATTCAAATATGTGAGCCTATGGAGGCCATTCTCATTCAGACCACCACACCCACCTTCTTAAGAATTTCTGTCACACTAGGCATACCGATCTCTGCGAGTTTGAGATCTCACAGCCTGGTCTACATAGTGAGCTCCAGGACAGCCAGAGCTACGTCATGGAATCCTGTCTCAAAAGGAAAAAAGTTTCCTTCATCTCTCAATCTCAAAGTGTGACCTGGGTGACCAATCACTGTCACTTCTTCCAGTTCTAAGGAGCTACACAATTACATGATTTGCTATCTGTGATGTATGACATACTGGATAATTCTCCTCCTTATGAAAAACTTTGTGTTTAAGAGTCATTTAACTATAATGCATTCTTTATCTTTCTTAAGTGGTGGCCAGATTTGTAAAGCTAGAAATCCCCATTTTTTCTGCAATAATAATTAATATTAGTAGGCAGAGCCCAGGCTGGCCTTGAAGTCACAGAGATCTGCTTGCCTCTGCCTCCTGAATGGCTGTGGTTATAGGACTGCCTCACTACACCTGGCAAAAGGGAAGCTGTTATGATGGCTTTTGTGAGTGCTAGAAATGATCTTCTAGAAGTAGGAGGCCTAGCCTTCAGTCTCAGAGCTGCCTCTCCAGCCCCTCCCCCTTATTACCAGTATTGTCCCTATTCCCAAAATAGGACATAACCTTTTGCAGATTCTGATAGCATAATTTTAGTAGGAGTTGACTGCTTAGCTTCTTATAGTTGGAGGTATGAGGACAGCCTGGTCTGCAGAGCGAGTTCCAAGACAGCCAGGGCTACACAGAGAAACCCTGTCTCGAAAAACAAAACAAAAACCCAAGTAAATATATAGATGTTTTGTGGGTTATTGGGTTGTTGTTGTTGTTTTGTTTTTTGTCTTTTTGTTGTTTTGTAGTGTTTTTGCTTTGCTTTTGTGTATGTATTTTTTTCAATGTTTCAATTTTGTAACAAAATAATAAGGAACCAAAGAGCTAGATGTTTATCATATCAATTATATGATTGCTTTTGTAAAATAACACCTTTGAAACATAAGTTGTTCTCTGGTGAGTTGGGGAAGGCACATGCCTTTGATCCCAGCACTCAGGAGGGAAAGGCAGGTGTATCTCTATGTGGTCGAGACCAGACTGGTTTACAGAGAGATTTCCAGGTTAGGCTCAACCCTATCTTGAAAAACAAGTTCACAAAATAAAATTGTGTTTCATTATATTTTTTAAAGGGAAGATCAAAATTCAAGATATTTTGGCATGCAGCTTCCTAGATGACTTATTGGAGGTAAATATTTATTAAACTACTTAGTTTTGTCACATGATAATTGCTATTTTCTTAATTATATTTCTGTGTTTCTTTAGCTAAGGGATGAGGAATTGTCCAAAGAGAGTCAAGAAACAAATTGGTTTTCTGCTCCTTCCGCCCTGAGGGTCTATGGTAGGATCCCATTACTAAAGTTTCATTACTCATTCCCCATGGTGTTTAGAGGCCTGTTTTATACACAGGCTATTTACCTTAAGACCAGAGTATTCTCCCCACTTAAGAGTTAGTACTCTAGGTTACTAAGATAGATGCACTTCTTACGTTACCAATGTTTGAACTTTGCAACTCTTCATAGTTTCTAAGCCTTGTTTTCAGTAGAACAGAGTAATCTGATTCATTGTCATTGGCTCAGAACAAGAGCTGTTGTTTTCTTTTGTGATGAAATGCTGTTGTCAGGATGCACGCAGAGGGATATTGGGGAATGATTTGGATTTACTGAATTTCATTAGTTTCCTACAATATCATTTTGGATGGTCTCCTGACTTAGTTAGGATCCATTGTCTCTTGACTTAATCTGAAAGCATTTTTGTGCTTCCTGTAGACCCACCAAGTTTAGAAACTTATGAATGTTCTAACTAGTTGCAAACTAAAAACAAAAATGTAAGTGAAATAGCCCAATGATCACAAGCTTCATACTGGGCCTTTTGTGTGGATTTAGCTTAATAGTTGTTCTAATCAAGATTTGAAGGGTCACCAACTATTACCTCTAAGCCATTACCTTAACTACCATGTAATTAGTTTCATTTCAGAATCAGACTGTTAGGTAATAAAATAACATTTTGCTAATGTCCAGCCTTTGTGATTAATTAGAAAATACTTTGGTCCTGAGTATGTTCCTGTTACCTTTTTCCAAGGTCAGTATTTGAATCTTGATAAAGATCACAACGGCATGCTCAGTAAGGAAGAACTCTCCCGTTACGGAACAGCAACCATGACCAATGTCTTCTTAGACCGGGTTTTCCAGGAGTGTCTCACTTATGACGGAGAAATGGTATTGAAATCTGCTTTTAAATTTTAAAAATCTAGGCTCCTACAGTTTCCATAACTTATTTTCTTTTCTCCTCTCTCTCTCTCTCTCTCTCTCTCTCTCTTTTTCTCTAGACAGGGTTTCTCTGTGTAGCCCTGGCTGTCCTGGAACTAGCTCTGTAGACCAGGCTGGCTGAGAACTCAGAGATCCACCTGCCTCTGCCTCCCAAGTGCTGGGATTTAAGGCATGCACCACTGACAGGCCTGTAAACCATTTCTATATAAATAGCTCAGTTTTAAATTACCCTGTCTGACATAGACCTTGTATGCTCTGGATTAAATCAGGCCTATTGCCTTCATCATTTGAGACAGAAGCCCCTCTATTGCAAGGCTGGCTGGAATTTACTGTGTAGGCACTCCTGCTTGATGAAGTCTCCTAAGTGCTGGGGGTTGGGTCTGAAGCTGCCATAGCCAGCTAAATCTGAGAATCATTGGATTACTGTGTCTGCATTAGTAGCTGAAGATAACTAGTATGCAGTTGTCCTTTTTCCTCTCAAAATACATGGAAGTCTAGTTACACTTAATTTTAGAATTCAATCTTAGATTATATAGATTACAAAGGTGTTATAGAGGGGTAGAGATTTAGTTAAATACTCCCCTTAATGTTTTCAAAACACTTGAGAAAGAAAAGTCTTTTTTAGTGGCTGGTGGGAGATCAGGTCTCACTATGTGGCTCTGGCTATCCTTTAACTCACTATGTAGACCAGTCTGATCTCAAACTTGCCTCTGCCTCTCCGGTGCTGTGATTAAAGGCATACACCACCATACCTAACAAGAAAGCTTTTTTATCTCACTCTGTAGCCCTCGATGACTTGGAACTCAACAGATCTCCCTGTCTCTGCCCTCTGAGTGCTGAACTTAAAGAGGTGAACCACCATGCCAAGCTTTGAGAAAAAAATTCTAAAGAGCATTTAAAAAATCTCTACTCTTGCTATTAAAAACATGTGGAAGCCAAGCATGGTGCAAGCCTGTAATTCCAGCACTCGGAAGATACAGGCAGGAGGATCATGAGTCTAAGATTAGTACCTATGTACAACTCCTAGGAACCAACACTGAATGCACAAATGGATTGATTGATTTATTTATTTATTTATTTATTTTGGTTTTTCGAGAGACATGGTTTCTCTGGCTTTGGAGGCTGTCCTGAAACTAGCTCTTGTAGACCAGGCTGGTCTCAAACTCAGAGAGATCCACCTGCCTCTGCCTCCCGAGTGCTGGGACTCAAGGTGTGTACCACCAATGCCCAGCCTTATTTCATATTTTAAAAATGTTAAATTAGCCATCTGTGATCACAAAATACCTTCATCTTGGCAGATACTCACTTAAAATTCCACTGAAGACTGAATATTTTCTCTTCTGTAGGACTATAAGACCTACCTGGACTTTGTTCTCGCCTTAGAAAACAGAAAGGAGCCTGCAGCTCTGCAGTACATTTTCAAACTCCTGGACATTGAGAACAAGGGATATCTGAATGTCTTTTCCCTTAATTATTTCTTTAGGGTAAGTATGGTTTGGGTAAAGGAGCATTGTACCCTAAGATATGGTAAATTATTTGGTTTAAACTACTCATTGACAGTTTTAATTAATGATTTTAAATTTAAAAGGATTACTATAAAATATTTAAAATGGAAATCAAGTATGTTTTGTTCCTTCTATTTTTAGGAGATATATAATGTGTAACAAAAAGTTAACATCTTTTTCAGTATTCGAGTATGAAAACAAATGGGAGGGGCTCAGCTAGCCTTTGGAAATAGTAATAGCAGCCTTCAGCCTTAACCCTCCTTCCTCACCCCAAGCTCTCAATAGCTGCAGTGTAAGTGTAGAAAGGTCTGTAGTTATGCTCTTTTAGTTGTGGACTGGAAATGGAGCAGTTGGAAAGATGGTGAAGCTTAGACTTACAGTGTGAAACTCGACAGGAACTGGAGTGAGACGGAGATGGGGATTATAGGCTTAATTTTTTATTTATGGATTTATTTCCATTAAATACAGGCCATACAAGAACTAATGAAAATCCATGGACAGGATCCTGTTTCATTTCAAGATGTCAAGGTTTGTTTTTTATTTCAGTACATAACATCAGATAATATAACCATAATAATACTAGATAATGTTATATCCAACTTTATATGAAACTATTTTATGAACTATGATTCACTATTCCTTATCATATTTTTGCTGTTACTTGTTGGGAACTGATTTTTAAATCATCAGAACTGGAGACAAATTTGGATTTACTGATTGACATAGCTGATAATTTCACCATCAGCTTTGTGTTCTCATGAAAACATTTGTTTATTTTATCTGAAAAATGTCAGCTTGCATCCTGTAGCAGTCCTTTTCATTGTAAACTCCATATTCGCCTGGAGGACTGTTTAGATTCAAGCCCTTTTTTAGTGTGCTGCCTCAATGAGCCCACATGCTTTATCTATTAGATTTAAAGAAGCACCCTTTTTTCAGTATGAAAACTATCATTGCTCGGGGCTGGGAAGATGGCAAAGTGGGTAAAAGCACCAGAGACCGGCATTTTATTCCCGACATTCATGCAGGGTGATGCTGGCAGCTCACAACCATCTGTAACTTCAGCTCCAGGGATCTGATGCCCTCCTCTAACCTCTGTAGGTACTGGAATACATGTAGCATTCACACACACAGATACACAAATATAGATCCATCATTATTTGAAACGCATGCTGCTACTTGGCATTTAATCTGCAGTTTCACGGCTTAGGAAGAAACATTCAGTAGGATCTTTTTTGGTTTTAGTTGAATAACAAAATAAAATACCCCGACCAATTATAACCAAGAATAAGCCTAAAGGACCATTCTGATACAATACAAATGGGGGAAATTTCAAACTTTGTAACATGAATTTAAGAACCAACACTTTAATCTTCTATCAATCTTCAGTTTAAAAGTTATTTTATGAACTTGAGTTACTGTATAAATTTTTTTAGATGTAACTGCTTATAATGCTAGCTATTAAATATTTCTGAGTAATTTTACTACACAGGATTAGAATATGTCAGGCAGTGGTGGTGCATGCCTTTAATCCCAGCACTCAGGAGGCAGAGGCAGACAGATCTCTGTGAGTTCAAGGCCAGCCTGGTCTACAGAGTGAGTTCCAGGACAGCCAGGTCTGTTAAATAGAGAAAACCTTTCTCAAAAAATGAAAAAAAAAAAAAAAAGAACGAAAGCAAGCAATTAGAAAATGCAGGTTATTGCCTTGCAAATATTTGCACTGTATACTTCACTTGATTCATGGAAGCACCTCTTCTAAGTCTTGACACAGTTTTGTTATTTTGCATGAGTAATTCTTTAACATGGAATTCTATTCCTCCTATATTGGGACTAGAGTAAAAGGTGCTATTATTATTAGAAATTAAGTTTTGTCACTATCTCTGAACTACTTGAATTTTTATTATGTAGCTGAGCTCTTACTTAAAAGATATGGTGACATAACTTAGTGGTAAAGTGCTGGCCTGGCAAGAGACATCTTGGGTACTTGATTCCAAGCACTGGGGATAAAAGAGATGGTATTAGAAGGCAATAAAAAGTGTAACGGTTAGTTGCATTCAGAGAATGGTGATAGCTCTGCCATTAATTACTATGAGCTTGGGTTAAACTCTGAGCCCATTTTCTTCATCTACAACATGAGAGACAATTATCATATAGCTAAGGAATGGCCTAAGAAAATACTGTGGCTAAGGAAATGCCTATCAAGGGGAAAGGAAAAACTGGAATAAAAATCGTACAGTAGTTCAAATGTCCACCCTGAATTTATATCACTGTGACAGAAATTACTTTCACCAGCTTTCATTATTACTATTTTTCTTGTACAGGATGAAATCTTTGACATGGTAAAACCAAAGGATCCTTTGAAAATCTCACTTCAGGATTTAATCAACAGCAATCAGGGGGACACAGTCACCACCATTCTAATTGATCTGAATGGCTTTTGGACTTATGAGAACAGAGAAGCCCTTGTTGCAAATGACAATGAGAACTCTGCAGATCTGGATGACACGTGAGCTCTCAGAGACCAGACTGCCTTCATAAAGATGAAGCCTGAATGCTGCATGCAAACCTTTGATGCAGGATCCTTGGAAACATCCTAAATAAAACTTGGCACATGCCTGTACAACACAGCAGATATCTGCCTTACTAGAGTTCTGGTTGCAGCTGGAACAATTTCAAAGTAATAAGACCAACTACTATACATACACACATACATACATACATACATACATACATACACACAAACAAACACACACACACACCACAACATACATACATACATACATACATACATACACACAAACACACACACACACCACGCACGCACGCACGCACGCACGCACGCACGCACGCACATATATATATTTTAATGAAGCGGTAAGTTCTGGTTCCATTTAGCTCAGGAACAGAAAGTAAGACTTGCTGTAGGTAGGTGTTGAATTATGGACTATTTCTGGTACTCATATAGGATTAGAGTGTTTGTTCTTCATGAATATCAAGGACGTTAGACTTTTCCATCAGAGTAGCCCAATGCATTTCTGGATTCAAAGATATGACTTTTTTTTTGGACACATGGTCTCACTGTGTAGACCTGACTGCCTGGAATTTGCTGTGTGGACTAGGTTGGCCTTCAACCTTAAACCCATAGAGAGCCATCCACCTCTACCCCCCAAGTGCTGAGTTGAAAGGTGAGTGCCACCATGCCTTTTTCCCCCAAGATTTCATTTATTTACTGTGTGTGAACACTAGAGCACACGTGGAGGTCAGTAGACATTTTTGAGGAGTCAATTCCTCCTTCCCCCACATGGGTTCTAGAGCTCAAATTCAGGTTGTCAGGCTTGCCAGCAAGTATTGTACCCACTGAGTCATCTTGCAAGCCCCCCAAGTTCTTAAGATGGTGTTTCAATAAAAAAGTACTCAAGCAAATATTTTGTTTTCATTAAAATCACAAGTATGAAATTTTGTCTAGTTTTATTATCTATTATCGAGTTACATTTACAAAACTGTACCTTTTATTAAAAGGTTTTGTTAGGTTTTCATTATACTAACTCATGTGTTTATGCTTTTTTTCCTTTTAAATATTTCATTCATTTTACATACCAATCACACTTCCCCTCCCTCCCTCTCCCCATCCCCTACCCCTGTTTATGGGTTTCTGTTGTTATTTGTTGTTGTTGAAATATAGTCTAGGCCAGCCTCCAACTCATGGTCCTACCTCAGCCTCCCTAGGGCTGGGTGTACAGGAGTGCACCACCACACCTGGCTTATGTTCAGTTTTTATAAAAAGAGAGATCAGAAGAAAACAGGACATCATGGAGTGTGATCCAGAGGGGAAAATAATTCTACACAGGGCTGGAAAGTAGGAAGAGGTAAGAGAGACTTAAAACAAAACAAACCATTTAACCCATTTATGATAAATTTTATAGCTTGCATAAACCAAAGTATAAAAATGTAAGGCACAGTGAATAACTCCAAACATCACAACCCAGCTGTTGCCCAACAAGCAGCAAAAGTAAACTGAGGAAACTGAGAGCCTTTGCAGGTGGTTCCTTCTACAAGCTGTGGTGCAAACGCTGAGATACTAGCACTTCGGGAGAGATGCTCTAGGGAGTCTCCCTAGACCTCCTGCCTTCGCCTCATAACCAGGTAAGTGTCTGAGGTGGCGGCACTGCAACAAGAGAAGAGGTCAGGCCAGCGTGTTTTAGCAACTATCAACTAAGACTGGTTCTAGTAGTAACCCTAATTACACAATAAAGATAAACCTCTAAGGACAACATCACATCGTTTAACCCATGAAGGGAGCTCACCAGTCACTCACACGACTCCAGGGAAGACTCCACATTTGCTGAGCCTTACAAACTTTAGTCCAACTGAAGCTTTCACTCAAACTTTGCATATTCAGTTAAAATCCAGCTTTCAGTTGAACTTACTGAGAGGTCCATGTGCAGGTCTCTATAATATACTTATCCATGTATGAATTGCACACATTGAAGAGGGAAAGTGTCATGCTATTTAGAAGGCCAGTTTGTAAGTGTTAATTCCTCAAAGCTATGAGGCTTTTAAAAGATCAGCATCTAAACATTGTCCACATTTCTCTTTATCCACATTTGATTATAAATTAAAGCTATACAGACAAAGTTCTGAACACATATTTAGGAATATTTCTTAAAATTAGATTCATAGTACACTAGGATAACCTAGTAAGGAGAGAAAGGGCCAAACCTGGTTCATATCAACTGTCCAACTTAAGGCTGTGACTTCAGAATGGTGAACAAAACTAAATGGTTACCAATTCCTCATCTCCCAGCTACTCTGCCTGTGATGCAGAAAGGCCTGAGTACGTATGATATATCCAAGGGGCCAGCCATGTAGGTAGCCACTAGGGATCAACACCTGACTACAACTACAAATTAATTCAGTAACTAGTGTTAATTTGTGATCAAAGCAAGTTATTAGCTACTGAAAAGTACAAGAGTGACTTGTAGTGAAAGTGAAAGCCCATATTAATATTTAGAGTAGTAACATTCAACACTTTCCATAAGATATTCTCAATAAAAGGAAATCCATAGTGCTTCCATCTGAGCTATCCTTAGTATAAAAGTATTGGTTAGGTATGTTAAATGCAAGGAAGGCAAGGCATGAAGCTATTAGGATTATCAGCTCCAAAGATGACTAATCAATACTTACCTTTATTTTTTAAAACAAATGCCCTAAAACCAAAAATCTTAACAATTTAACTCCCCTTTTAATGTACAATGCTTTCAGTTTTGGGGTTGAAACAGGATCTCACTGGCTAGGCTGCAGCTTACTATGTTGACCAGGTGGGCATTGAATTGACACAGTACCGCCAGCCCCTGCCTCCCTAGTGTGTGTTATCATGCCTAGCTAAATGTCCTTATGTTTTATAAAAGACTGTTTTAAAATCAAAGCACTGGAGCTTAGTGATAGAGTACTTGGTTAGTGTATGTGAAAGAAGTCCTGGTTTTACTCCCCAGCATGGGGGGGGGGTCACTAATTAATCATAAAAACGTCCCAACTTTAGATCTGACTGTGATAGATACAGCATAAGAATGAAGATTTTCCCTTAATAATTTAAAATATAAATAACTGTTTTAAGTCCCACTAAACAAAAATGTAAAAAGTTCCTGATTGACGTTTAGGGTTTGACACTTTTTAGTCATTTCGTTCTATGGGGGGACAGAGGCTGGCTGTTGTTTGCTTTCCTTAATTACTTCACAGTCTTCCTCCATTTCAAAATTTATGTTCACAAATGAACTGGACACCACCGTTTCTGGTTGATCTGTCTGTACAATGGAACCAGGCTGCAACTTGTTCTGTTGGTACTGTCTTTCTGCTTCTTCAGACATCCTATTTTCTTCTTCTTCCTCTTCCTCCTTAAAAATAAAAAAAAAAAAAAAGAAAAGAAAAATTGGAAATGCCAGTAGTTAAAATAGTAATGTCCAAAAGGGAGCAAATTTCTTCTTTCATTAGCATCTTTTTCTTCAAAAACCAAACTTTAGTGTCATGTCTAATACTTCTGGGGTGGGGGTGTAGCTCAGTGGTAAAGTTCATGTCTAATATACACATAAGGATCTAGGTTTGATCCCTAGCACCACACAGGGAGGGAGAGAGGGAGGGAGGGAGGGAGGGAATTGAAAGAACTACCACCACCAAAACAAAACTGTCTTTTCCCATTCTCAAAGTAAAATAGTTAAAGGTGGATGGCCCAGCACTACTTAGCTAAATTAACTTACCCAATAAAGTAACAAATTAGCAACTATGACACTTGTATAACTACTGTGACACTTTAATTATAAGGTGTCATCCTAGTTAGTTAACAGGCTGATTCATTCATTAGATGGTATAGCATGGTTAGTTTTTCCCTAAGCATCTAATCAAGGTACAGATCATCCAGTTCTTGCCCTCAAGACCTTTGCAGTCTAAATGGAAGTTAAGATACAGAGAGAGGCAGCACAGAGACCACATCGAGAAACTGTTCAGTTCATAGAGGAGGTGGCACTGTATCTGGACCCTGAGATACAAGTCAGTACAGAGATACTCTGGTTTCTCTTCAGATCCTATAAATCTTTCACCTTTTACAAGTCAGTACAGAATGAGTGACCTCTTGGGAGGATTATCCTGAGATAGAACAAACTCCAGAAGCTTCTGAAGTGGACTGAACAAGCTCAGGAGGCTCGAACATGGCGCAGTGTTTTCTTGTTGGTTTTTGTTTTGTTTTTTGTTTTAAAACAGAAAACATGTTTGAGGGCTGTAGAAATGGCTCAGAGAGGTTAAGAGCACTGCCTGCTCTTCAAGAGGTCCTGAGTTCAATACCCAGCAACCACCCAGTGGCTCACACCCATCTGTAATGAGATCTGGTGCCCTCTTCTGGTGTGCAGGCATACATGCAAATAGAACACTGTATATATAAAAAAAACAAAACAAACAAAAACATGTTTGAAGCCACACAACAGAATAAAGGTGATCTTTCTAGGCTGACCTCCAGGGATAGCCCTCCAACAACTGCTTGCTGCTTACTGAGTGAACATACATCCTGTGTTCATACCTCTTTTGGCTTTACCTGACCTGCTCTGCTCCTGTTTCACTGAACCCTCTGGTTTACTGTGTGCTTGCCAATGTACACTAGGTGCTGTTCTGAGCATTTTATGCACTAACCCTAGGAGGAGATACAGTTTTCATGACAACAGGGATTTGAGGCTTGGGGAACTCAGTAACTACCTGATTACTTACACAGGGTGGGTGATAATTCTTCATTTTTTAAAGTGACAATATCAAACGGTATATAAAGATCAAATTAATATACATGAAAAGCCTCACTTATTAGCACTGACAAACAAAACCTAGCATAGGTTTTATACATTTACCTTAGGAAATCAGAATTTTGAAGAGTTCTAAAAATCTGTTAATTTAATAAACTAAATAAGCTATCTTCAGTGGTGGATTCCCTCCTCTGGCACGTGTAAGGTCCTGTGTTTAATGCCTAACACTGCAAAAAAACAAAACAAAACAAAACAAAAACAAAAAAACCCACAGGAGCTACCTTTTGGGCTCCTAGAGTGTCCACACACACACTGTGGGGCTCATCAAGCCTCAGGCAAACTATCAATAAAGTGAGAAAAGGAGACACACCTCCTTCTTCATCCGGTAATACTCATCAATGGCATACTGGTATTTTGGGGTGCTGATGCCCAAAACAGATGCAATCTTCTCTCCAAGAAAGTCACACACTAAAGATACAAAAGTTAAGAGACATACAGTACCATAAATCGTAATACTAAGAATACAAGAGTTATTGTTTTACCCTTAAACCCAATAAATTTATCCCCCTGTCTCCTCACTTCCGTCCTGGACACCAGTCTGTTGACATTACTATTTTTGCATGTTGAAGAACAGTGTCAAACTTACTCAGAGTACTTCTTAGAGATCCTCCACCAGCTTCCACAGTGCTGGTGTTAGATGTGAGCTAGACCAGCCACAGTTCTGCTACACGCTTCTCATCAGGTACCGTAATTATCAGTTAGAGGTCCCTTTCTTTCAAAGACACACTATATTACAAGGTTAGGATATCACTGGGCTGGAGAAAAGGGATGATGGTCCTGCCACGGCTTCCTCACCAGGATGGTGTGTACCTTTCAACTGTGAGCCACATCAAACCTTTAGCTTGCTTTTGCCATGTATTCTGTCCCACCAAAATCAGCACCTAATACAGAAGGCTCTGGCAGGCAGTGAAAGGTCAGGCTTAAGAGATGTAAAGAAGTTGTGAAAGCAGATAAAAGAGCTAACATTCAAATCCGGACTGTATAAAGTTTGTGCTCTTCTGTCACACCAAACAGTCTTGACCACAATGCATGCTCAATAAATGTTGACTCAAATAATAGCAATGATTTGCTCTAATAAAAAAGTGACAGACACTATCAAGTAGTTAGTTCATTGCAAACAGTAAATTTTATGGTTTAAACATTATTACCATAACTACATAAGTTGATAACTCACTTCCTTCAAATATCACCTATGTTTCAATTTAAGACGTGAAATATTGCTGGGACATAGCTCAGTGGAAGATTTTGCTTGGGATGTACAGGGCAGGTTCAGTTCTCAGCACCATTAAAAAAAAATCACATGGAAGAAACCATGCATCCCTATAACTCAATAACAATAAAATGATAAAATGCTAATATACAAGGAAGAAATTAAATACCAATAAAAATTAAAAGATGAATGGTTTATAATAAGGCTTTAGAATAAGCAATGAGACATAATCAGATTAACAGCAGTAGGAAACCAAATGGTAAAGTAACAGAGTAGGTGGTAACGGGGTTTTAAATATGACAACCTTGTCTACATTAATGCCGCCATTTTCCTGGGGTTGTTTTTATTGTTATATTTTAGGGGGTGGTGTATTGTGTGGAGGCCAGAGGACAACTCATTAGGAATAAGTTCTCCTCCCCTGATGGGGTTTCCAGAGGTCAAATCTACTTGTCAGTTTGGTAGCAAGTACCTTTACCTGCTTGAGCCAACTTGCTGGCCCTCGTTTGTTTCTTAACACAACTATAAACCGAAGAACATATGCACAAGCTAGAGTAATATTTTCCAGTGTTAGCTGGCTACCTGTAGAGGACAAGGTAGTTTCCTATTTTGCTGCTTCTTCAGTGGGAACATCCCATTTGGTAAAGCTCCTGTGTGCAGAACTTACTACAGCAATCATACACTATTCAAACAGAAGAGCAATACCTGAGAGGGTTGATGTGGCAGCCCGAAGCATGTAAAACCATAAGTAGGGGCCCCAGGGAAGTTTTGTCTGTAACAAGAAGTCAGATTAGCAACATTCATCCGATATTCACTATCTTTACACCAGGGTGAACTGGTCAAATAATAAGTAGGCATATAAAGTATTCCATAAGTAGGAATTCAGTCAATTAAAAACATAAGTATTTATATCCAAATCCCACAAGAATACTTCATTGTATTCCATATAATTACCACCAACTTCACCCACGGAAGGACCAAAAACAGAGATAGCAACATGATGGCACTGTAACTCAGGCTGTACTACCTACAAATTTTACAGTCTTTCTTCTGTCTTGCTTTTTTGCTTTCTTATCTTTATTCTTCATAAGCATATCCAAGAGGGTGTACTGTCAACAGAAAGAACCTTGAAGATATGCCTAACAAACATAGCAGGAAAATTCTGCTAGAGAAATGGAGGTAAATGAACTTTCAATGGTGAAAAATAACTGGAAGTATAGGCAGTTCTCTTTCTTGTCTGCTTGCTTGCTTTGCTTGCTTTGAGACAGGGTCTCACTCTGTAGTGCGGACTGTCTTGGAACTCACTAGGTGGACCAGGATGGCCTCAAACTCACAGAGATCCATCTGACTGCCTCCTGAGTGCAGGGATTAAAGGTGTGCAATATCACAGCTGGTTGCTTTGTTCTCTTAAAGGATAAAAATGGGACTAGTATGGCCAGACAGTAGTGGCGCACACCTTTAGTCCTGGCACTCGGAAGGCAGAGGAGGTGGATCTTTGTGAGTTCAAGGCTAGCATGATCTACAAAGTGATTTCCAGGACAGCCAGAGCTGTTACACAGAGAAACCCTGTCTCAAAAAACAAAAAAACACAAACAAACAAAAAATGGGACTAGTGTATATACCCCAACACAATTCAGTGCATTTGGCAAGGACGGCTGGCAGAATACTTCCTACAGCAAACTAGTCTTGGTTCTCACTTGTGTGAAGGTTGCCTAAGATAACAGTGCCTTTATTGATAGAACTGACACTATTCTATCAATCGGGCATGCTTCACTGAACCACTATTTTTGTTTATACAGAGCCTGCATTTGGATACATTAATACTGTTAAATTGCTTTCAAGGAGAGAGAGAAATTTGTTCATAATCTTTTTGGAGAAGATATATTCATAATTATAAAGGCATTAAAAAACCAAACAAGAACATCTATGAAAACTGAGTAGAGTAAGACATAGCCAGAATAATTACATTTTAAGTTTGAGGCAAGCCTGGTCTACTTATCAAGTTTCAAGCCAACCTGGGCTACACAGAGGATGCTGTCTCCAAAAAAACTGAGTTGAGATCATCTTGTGATGAAAAGTAGGTCTGCTGGAGTTGAGGAGATAATGCAATTGGTAAAGTGCTTGCCATGCAAGCCTAAGGACATGAGTTCAATTCCCAGACCCCATGAATAATACCAGAACTGGGGAGAGAGACAGGAAAATTGCAGGGGCTCACTGGCCAGCCAGTCTATCCTAATTGGCAAGCTCCAAGGCCCCAGTGAGAGACCTTGACTCCTGAGGAACAATGTTTGAGGTTGATCCCTCCTCCATATACAAGAGCACAACCCCCCCCCCCCCCCCCCCCGCCCCCGCACTGACACACACAGAGTATGCCAACTACTGTGACAGTTTATAGGAAAAACAAAAGTGGGTGAGGTGACTTAGTGGGTGAGGCACTTGGTGCCCAACCTGACCACCTGAGTTTATCTTAGAGACCCACATGGTGGAAGAAAAAAAAGAAATGAGTCTTGCAAGCTGTCCTCTGACCTCCACACATGTACTGTGACATGTGCATGCCCCTTCACGACATATACATGTGTGATGTGTGTGTGTGTGTGTGTGTATGTATGTATGTATGCGTGTGTATGTGTGTATTGTGTGTGTGGGTGTGTGTCCTCGAACACATGCACATTTAATTTAAAAACCTTTAGAGGCTGGAGAGAGAATGCAGTGGTTAAGAGCACTTGCTGCTCTTCCAGAGGACCCCAGTTCAATTCCCAGCACCCACATAGCAGCTCATAACTGTCTCTACCTCCGGTTCCAGGAGATCTGACACTCTCTTGATGCGTGAATATACAGACAAAATACCCATACACATAAACTAAAATTTAAAAACTGAACAAAAGACACAGAATAGCTTCGACCTTCTTGCAAAGGTACTCCGTGAAGTAAGCCCTGCCAATTACTACCGATTCCCTGGATCACATCTGAACTGTCTGGATTCACAGCATGAGGATGCTTGTGGGGCTGAGGGCTACTCAAAGGCCTCTGTTTAAGACGATCTGACTTTTGATTTACAGTAAGCACAACAATGGCAGAATAAAAGGGACTGAACCAATTTTCTTTTTTTGTTTGTTTTTTGTTTTTTGTTTTTTTGAAACAGGGTTTCTCTGTGTAGCTTTGGAGCCTGTCCTGGCACTCGCTCTGGAGACCAGGCTGGCCTCGAACTCACAGAGATCTGCCTGCCTCTGCCTCCCGAGTGCTGGGATTAAATGCATGCACCACCAACGCCCGGCCCAATTTCCTTTTGTTTGGGGGTCTTTTTTGTTGTTGTTTTGGTTTGGTTTTTTGTTTTGTTTTGTTTTGTTTTGAAACAGGGTACCTCTAAATAGCCCTGGCTGTCCTGGAACTCACTATGTAGACTAGGTTGGCTTCAAACTCACAGAGATTACCTGTCTATTGAGTGCTGGGATTAAAGGCATGTGCTACCATGCCTGGCATAATTTTTATAACATATAATGTGAAATTTCTATAATGTATACCGGGTTGTATGAGTAAGGAACTACTTAGAAAAGAACTAAGCATAAAGACCCAGGCATGCAGTACATGCTTATAATTCCAGAACAATGCAGGCAGAAGCAGGTGGCTCTCTGGGGTTTGCTGGCCAGCAACCTACTTAACTGGCAAGCCCTAGGTCCCTGTGAAAAATCCTGTCTCAAACAAGGAGGGCATCTCTGGAGAAACAACACCTGAGATTAACACCTGCACACATGTGTACACCAGCACACATATGAACACACACACACACACACACACACAC